AATCAGACCTTCATTTCTACAGAATTGGTCATTAAAATTGAACTTACCACTGTAATCATTGTCAAAATTAATGTTTTTCAATTACATGTGGAAAAATAAAGTGATACCAGATGAATCCTCTCCAGAAATACTGTATGTTATGACCGAATTCCCCTCATCAACGTCCATGGCGACCACCTAAACAAATAACCGCTTAGAAATTGTTTAACAAAAAAGACTCAATGATACAGTCAAAAGAAAAGAATCAATGTTTCTCTTTCCAGTGTACTTGGAAGAAATTAAAGCTATGCATAAACAGTAATGAGAAGAAACCTTCAAAACTTCTGCCCCCTGAGAGGCTGATTCTTTTATATGTGCCCGGTAAACAACATGTTGGAATTCTGGAGCGTTATCATTCACATCTTCAACTTCAATATTTATAACGCATTGAGCAAAAACGTTGTCTTTACCGATGTCTACTGCAGTTACAGAAAGATTATAAGACGATATAGCTTCTCGGTCAAGTGATCGTCGTACTTTCAGTTCTCCTAAATTTACTTATAGGTATAAGCATTTCAAAAAAGGAGTTTAAGATAAAAGCTAAAAAAAGAGTTTTTAGGAACACAATAATTTTTTACCTGTTAAAAAGTCCATATAGAACTGACTCATTGCATCACCACTTTCAAGCATGTAACCAAAACGTTGCCCGGTACTACCCACTGCTTTGACAACCACAACATCCGAGTCCTTAGCGGAATCCTCAGGTATACGAGCGCGATAAACTGGACGTGAAAAGACTGGTAGATAGTAATCAACGACTTTGATGGTAACGTTAGCAGTCGACGACTTGTTTGGAGTACCTGTAATAACCAAAACTTTAGGTGTCCTAAAAGCCAAAAAACGTCCGTTCAAGAAACTCGTGGATATTCGGACCTTGATCAGAAGCCTCAACAACGAAGGAGAAAGAGCTGATCTCTGAATTACTCAACGACTCAGTGATTGTGATCCATCCATCATACTTGTTAAGTTTTACAAAGCTAACATCGCCTTTCAATCCATACCTAAAGATTTAGAAAACTGTTGGAGACGCTATGCTCAAATTGGCTACTGTTTGCAGTTGTTAACAGCCTACCTAACAGCTCCATTTTCGTCTTGATCCATATCTACCGCTCTGATGCTCATAACTTTATATCCTAAATTAACGTTCCTCGGAACAGCAGCAATGTAAGGCAAATTGATGAAGACCGGCTCACAGTCATTCACATCTTCTATATTAATGGTTACTATCTTTTGCGCTTTCTCGACCTTATCACCGTTTGAAGAAGCCTAAAAATTTCTACAGGATTCAAACATCTAATGATACGTTTAACGAAATACAAAACTGCACAATGATATCCAATCAAACCTCAACGAGAAGATTAATTTGCGGCGTTACTTCTCGATCAATAGCACCACCCAACCAGCTGATCTGACCAGAACCAAAACCAATCGAAAATTCAGGATGCGGGTTAAGTATTCGATATGTCACTGTATCACCGGCTAATCCGATAGCTGTTACAGTGATCAACGGCTGTGCGACAGAAGAGACTTCATTTTCAGTCAGTGAGACTTGGTATTCATTTTGTAAGAAATGAAGATTTTGCGACAATGAACTCTTAACAAGTATTACAAGAACTGCAGAATCTTTATGAATCCCGTCTGTTACTATTATTGGTATCTGAAATCACAGTAAATTTTCTACAGACTTCATCGTAAACATTTAAAGAAAACAAAACAAATACTGTCACAAAATTTATTTAATAGGAATGCTGCTACTTAAATGTTGACCTTAATGAACAAGCATTGTAAAAATTTCACTAATACTCATACCTTGTATTCGCTAAGCATAAACTGTGACGAGTTCTCTGCCTTAACAGTGACATCTCCAGTAGCAGTGTTCAAATCAAATAACTGACTACCTTCACTGAAGAAATATTTTAGTGTTCCAACTGTATCGGGATCATAAGCATTTAATTTTGCTACTTTAACACCTGAAAACCAGTGATACCAGAAGTCAGTTAAGCAGTGAATAAAAAAACTCGCCAGCTATAAAATTCGTCACATTAATAGCTGCTCATTGAATAAAAAATAGTGTGTTCTGTGACTCAGCTTAAGATAATAATCCAAAAAAACACCTTTCAAAGTCGGAAGTACCAAATCTGCATAAATTTCCTTCTGCCCGAACCTCGGGGGTACATCGTTTACGTCACCGACTACAATTGTGACCATAGCCGGTACAGAGGAACTCAAAGCCTTTGAACCCATATCGCTCGCTTGCACGTAAAAAGACCATCTTTTCACTTTTTCGTAATCTAATATGGCTTTTGTACGTATGACACCAGTAACATAATCGACCATAAAGTATGGTTCAAACGGAGAAACTATGCGATAATTAATAAATCCATTCAATCCCACGTCATCGTCATGTGCCCGAACTTTAAGCGGAAGTCCGTCTTCAGTAACAACCATAACACCTAAACAGGAAATCTTTACTAAACCTATTGAAGCTTGCCTTTGTTGAAAATGCAGTACTATCTGGGAATTCATTATTACCGTGTCAAATGAGCAACAGTTTAGAATAAGTTAGCGTTTTTCAATTTACCTGCAGGACGCCTTTCTTCAACATAACCGATATAAACAGATTGATTGAAGAACGGTGCATATTCATTGACATCAGCTACCTATAAAAAAAAAGCAAATTTTTTCCTCTACTTAAATCAAACAATTAAAAGTCACTGACTGTTAAACTACCTTTAAAATTAATTGCGCTGAAGTTTGATCACCCAACGTGTTTCGGGCTAAAACAGTGCAGTTGAGAAGACCGCTACCGATTTTTTTGTTCAAGCCCTTTTCCAAATAGACAGCTCCCGAAACTGGATGAACATCAAGATAATCACACGATTTCTCCAAAGAGAAGTGGAATCCGGCCACTGCGGATTCCAAACCAACAACAGTTAAAAGACTCCCAACCGGTGCAGTTTTCAAGACAGGAACAAGGTAGACAGGTCTTAAATCCAAATAAGTTATCACGTCCAGTATTAAATACAAAAGACTGTAATTTAGTAAGTGAAAAGATTAACCTTTGAAACGACGGTAGCAACAGTTCATCAAGCATAGTTTGAATACGTACAGTACAAGTATCAGAAAGTTTAAATGCGCTTTCATCTGTAGCGCGAATTGTAAGTACAGCCTCAATACTTTCACTCAACAACAAACTTTTAGCAACCATTATTTCTCCAGACAGCCGGTCAATTGCAAAATAGCCCCCTTCATTTCCTGTAAAATATAAGCTTTCAATTTGCATTAATAAATTCATTCTACTTAATACAACCTAAGGTAAAAGATTTGTTACCAGCAGCGATAGAATAAACAACAACTCCGTCTCTTCCCAAGTCTGTATCGTAAGCACGAACTGAGGTAATTATACTGCGAAGAGGAGTCCTGTAAAAGCCATATTTGTCAGTTTAGAATACAGGAAAGTTACTGCGGGATAACTAACTTATGAAAACTTTTACTAACCGAGAAAAAACCCTAACAAAGTATTCGTTCTGTAAAAATTTCGGTGCAGTGACATTTTCCCCTGTTATCGCTACAGTAACCATCACATAGTTGGATAAAATTCCACTTCTGGCAGATATGATCATAGAGAATTCTCGAGACACTTCACGGTCAAGAGTTCCAGTGAGGAAAATGTTGCCAGTCCTAAATTCCAGAAGAAAATCTTCTTGCGCGCATTGCTGGTCAATATTATGCAACAGAAGCATTTTAAAATAAAAGGTATAAGAGACGCTAAAGCTTTACGTCGGATCGATTCTGATTTTATCTTTCGCACCAGTATTTTCTACAGATTTGATACTGTACGTTATCCCCCTGTCAGTTGAACGTGCTGGCGGTTCATTTCCGCCGAGTGTCGCTTTGACAGTATGTATCAAAGACCCAACAGCGGTTTTTTCAGAAATCTGTATTTTATAATGCGTTGCACTAAAGTGTGGACGCTTTGAGACATCTCTCGATATTTCGATGATAATCTATAAATATATTAACTATTACCATAAACCTGCCATCAGCAATGCCGCTATTTATATGTATTTAGTTCGAGGATCTTTAATTATCAACTTGCCTCTCCATAAACAATATCCTCATCATCGGAAATCATAAATTTCAAACTGAAAAATTTGACGGCAACACTGACACTATCAAGCGGTTTAGTTAAAAATAAAGCGCCAGTATCATTTCTGAAAAGGCAGCATAATTATAGCACTAGCAGTTATTGGTAAGCAAATAACAAAAAACTACAGATGAAGTAATTACTAACTAAAAATTTTCAGATTAAAACTGCTATTTAATGAAATAAGTTGTTGCATTTTCGAAAAATGTATCAGAAACCAAAAAAGTTGATTTTGTTGATTTTACCTAAGAGCAAAAGTGTTGTTAAGATTTCCGTCGTACAGAGTCCACCACAACTTATCTCCATCGGGATCCTCTGCTTCAATACGTCCAATACTATCGCCAACATGGTCAGTGTCCGAAACAGTTAGGCGTTTCCACAGATTTTCGTTGATAAATCTCGGCTTCAAATTTCGCTTCTAGAAGTTAAGTAAAATAAACTTTTCTGATAACAAAACCAAATAATTTCTCTAAATAAATGCATGTCAGATAAACGACATCATCAGGTAAGTTAAATTTACCTTTTTAGGAGAACCTTTTGCAACAGGTATAAGCGTAACACGAGTGGTACTGTTGCTGTAAGGTGCAACAACTTCAGTAGCCTAAAAAAAACTTTTTTCTTTGTGTGGACTGACTTATACGGAAACAGTAAACACCTAAATAAAATCGTAAACTAACATGAACGACAAGAGATACAGTCTCCTTTGAGCTTAGTCCTTCGTTACAGCTTATGTGACCATCACTATCAATGGAACAACGAGGATCACCAGTTAATGAATAGGAAATACGAGAATTTTCTCCCTCATCCAAATCAACTGCAAACACCCTTAAAAAATGTTAAGATTTAGTTTGAGTTCCAAAACAAATTTAAAGAAAAACCGATAACAGAGCCAGAAAAAAACAGACATTAACTGTTTGTCTGGATAAACCTAAAACTGCAAGTCACCAAGGAGAATTTTTAAATCAAATACAATCATCTTTCAGCAGTCTTTCGTTTTGGATAAATTTAATAAGCAGTAGTTGAAAAAATCATCAAATTCAGGCGGTGTTATCAATGACCTGCAAAGAACTCCAACTACATCTGATCGAACTTCGAATTTGTAATGCTGATTCTTGAAAACCGGTGGGTTGTCATTTCTGTCCTCAATTGATACAACCACAGGAACAGATGTGCACAGCTGCGGTTCATCTTGGTCACAAACTTTTACAATCAGTGTATGTTCCTTCTGCATTTCACGATCCAACAGTCTAGTTGAATGCGTAGTCAAGTACCCTTAATAAGCAATTTTTAATTGCAATTGATTTTTCCACATATATTAAGTTTAAGGAATTTTGACCTAAAACTCTACCTGTGTATGAGTCAATAGAGAAAAAACTTTGAGGATCACCACCAGCAATTGAGTAGACAAGACCATAGTCCTTTTGTTTAGCAATGTTGTCCTTGTCTTCTGCCTCAATCTACAAAAAAATTTTTTAAAAATACAAAAATAAACAGAAAAAAGGCAAGTGAATAATATGCAACCACAAAACCACAATACCTTAGCGACAACTGTATCTGGAGAATTCTCAGGAACAGAAACAAAGTATATAGGACTGCGAGGTAACGGTGCATGGTCGTTTTTGTCCAGCACTTTTACCAACACGTGAACTATTGAGCTCAGTGGTACCGAAGCATCATCTTCAGCCTTCACTGCTAGCCAGTAACTGGTGTCCACTTCATGATCCAATACTGCTGTTGTACGTAATACACCTGAATAAATATATTCTTCAGAATTCCATTTGCACATCAGTTCAACTTCATACAACTCGATAATTAAAAAAACGGAAACTAGATCTCTTTTCTCTGTGACATACTTACCTTTCAAATCAATTGAAAAGTAGCCGACTCCATCGCCGTCCACAATTGAGTACTTTAATAGTGCGTCAGGCTTTTCTGGGTCTTCAGCTTCAAGTTTACCAACAGTAGTTCCAGATTTAACGTTTTCTAAAACTCATTGAATTCAAATTTACTCTTGCACAATAAAATCCTTAAATAATTATCTCCCTACCCAGAATATATAAAATTTAGTTAAAACTGAATTGACATCACAAACCAGATGCAGTAAATTCGTATGCGAAGTCTGAAAACACGGGCGGATGCAAATTTTCATTAACGTCTATCAGCTGAACAATCAAATTGCACGATGAAGACAGTTTTGGTTGGCCGTTGTCTTCCACCTGAGAACAAACTTGAAGTTTTGAAGAAAGTCGAAACGAGTTTCAAACATCCAATAATAAAAATCATAGAAACTGTAACATTTGCCAGATTAAACAGCAGATGCTCTGACAGTAATAAAATTACAACCTTGACAGTGAGATTGTAGAACGCTCTGGTCTCATAATCCAGTGGTTGTTTGCTATTTAAAAATATGCAACCTGTGTCGGGTTGAATTCGAAATGGTATAACACTTGTCAAGTCACTAGCAAACAATGTATAAGTAACCCTGCCATTCTCGCCATAATCCGGATCAATTACTGGAATGCACGTTATAAGTGCACCATTGGGGTAATCTTCAGGAATCTGAACCTGCAAAATAAACAGATCTCAAAGTCGTCTATTGGAACTCTTTATTTTTGAAAGGTAGACTTTTTACAGTTACTTACCCTTTGCGAATAAGTAACACACCGTGGCTCGTTGTCATTTACGTCATCAAGTAATACAGTAACATTGACGAATCCAAGCCTTGGTGGTTCACCATGATCATGAGCAATTACTGTGAAGCTGAAAGGACACAAGTTAAGCACCACTATACAACTCAAGAAATTCTCAATAGTTTATTCCTCTCCAGTATTGACTGTAACTGATAAGTATCAGAAGGTTATATGGCCTTAAATTCCCTATCCCTTCGAGGAAGCTGGTTACTTCAAGAGCTTAATTTGTTAACTAAATCGAAGTCGAACTACCAACCAATGACTTTCTTTTGTTTCTCGATCAAACTTATCCCGAACTGATAATATACCGCTACTCGCGTCAATCTTTACGTAATTACTGTTTCCAGTAAGCTGATAAGCCACTCTTCCATTCTCACCTAGATCTTCGTCAGTTGCTTTTACAACTACAATATCGGTACCGATGGGACTATCCTCTTTCAGATGAACCTGATAGAATGGCTGCAAAATGAAAAAAATGACTCAGTATAGAACAGAATATTAAAGCCGCGTTTAGAGCTAATAAACAAAATAATGTTACAACAAAACGGTGAAAAACACCTAAAATCTTTTGCTTTTAATCCAGATCGAAATTCTGATAAACAGATTAGCAGGAGAGAGATAACTCAATTAAAAATAAAAACCTTTTCAAACTTTGGTGCGTTGTTATTGCAGGCTTCCACTGTGACCGTCAGTGTTTTATTTGTGCTTTTCATCGGCTCACCCATATCAAATGCACTAACTGTCAAAGGATAATCGACTGTTTTCACATCATTTTTCTTTTCCAAAAATAAATCGTGAAGATTTCTCAGAATTATTACTTCGCCGGTAAATGGTTGGACAGCAAAGTACTTATCCAGAGAGGCATATCGAACTAATCCTGCATAATCGGAATCAGCATCCGTTGCATTCAAAACGATGACAACCTTAAAAAACAACACTAATGTCAAAAATATTTTTAAAGATGACATCACCACGGTCAAAAATCTTTTTTTGATTTTAGTATAAAAAAATTTTTTAGAAAATCCATATCAAACCTTTCCAATTGGAAAATCTTCTTTTACGACCACTTTGTCTTGCTGCTGTAAAAACACTGGAGCATTTCGGTTTACTGGATCTCTGCTTATCGATCGCCAAAACTTATTTCCCGGTGCTTTTGTAGAATTTTTGTGAATAGTCAGTACCATTTGTGAACTACGTGAATATGGCCAACCAGTATCAAAGGCTCTCACTTTTACATACCAAAAGGATTCATTGTGTAGTGGCCG